ATTATTATTATTATTATTATTATTATTATTCTTATTACTATTATTATTAGAAACAAATTAAATCATAATTTTATTTCTATCTCAATTTTGGCCTTTGCATATTTTAATTATAGTTTTTATATTTTAAAAGTTTTTATGACTATTTTAAAATTGCAAATTTTTTTGTGACTTAGAGCCGCGGCTTTACTTCTATCCATAAAGCATAGGCCTTATTTTAACCTTTTCCTTCGTTAATAATTAGAAAAGAAATGCTTTATGATATTACAAAATAGTTTTATCCTTGATGATGATGCTAATAAATATGATATGAGAATAATAATAGTAATTATAACCGTTTGCTAACATAGTTTGTTGGTTTTGTTGTAATGTTTAATTTCTGCCTTAAAGTCAATCGACCTCAAAAAAACATTATATCTCTATTAATAATAATTCGTAATATCCCTATTAATAATGATTATGATACTTTTTTGAAAAAATAGTAAAAATTAAACACCAGAAGTAGTAACAGTTGGTAGCAAAAGCAATGACAAACAGGAGCAACATCACAGGCTCGGCAGAATGAATTAAGTAGCCCATCAAATGATCGAGCTCGGACACTGCATGAATTCAATTCTAATTCTGCCGGTCTGACTTTGGTGATTGGTGCGCGCTACATTTACAAAAAAAAATTAAAACACATACACAAAACTCAGGACTCAAGTGATTCTAGGTATTTTTGGGCCTGTACAGTGTACCGCCAGCATTCCAATTTGATCCAACTTGGGCAATTCCTGAGTCAGAAAGGCGATTTTTCAATCTCTGATCAGCAGTAAATGAAATTAATGCGTGCAAAACAACTCGATGAGATTGTCTCTTCGGGTTCAAAAGGGTGGTGTGTCACCAGAGTAATCAACCAATCTTGGACAAAAGAATTAAGCTCTATGATCCTTATGTTCTTCGTAATAATGATCCTTAAGATGATGATGATGATAACCATGAAATTAAAAATGTAAAATGAAACCCTAGCATGTTCTCTTGCAAGAAGGGGCTCAAATGTCTATTATGGAGTCAACCAGGCAAACACAACGTTTAAATCTAGGACTGCAAAAGGGTGGATTATGTAAATCTAGGACTGCAAAAGGGTGGATTTTTCTAATCAGAACCATGCGACACAACCATACGACCTTCCAATCTTGCTTGCAACTACATGGGGAGAGTTGTTTAGAGCTCTAGATATTTTGGAAAATTTTTAGGTATTTACAGAGAAGCATATTTCTAATTAACCGAAACAATATGTATATGGGTAATTTTTACAGCCAAAATAAATATTTTTGAAAAGTTACAAACTCATTGATTTCACGTAAAAGGAGTGGATTTAAGATGCAGGTAAAAGAGGTCTTAGTGAAAATCTGGATCGATAGGGTCGATGATCCATCTTAAAAATCCATATTGTATTGTCAGATCATTGATCAAGATTGGTCTAAATCGGTGATTTAGAAAAATATTTTAAAATAATTAAAATAGAGGTTTGTTGTGGGGATTTGGGTGACTTAAACTTTTACACACACACTCTTCATCTCAATAATCAATCTAAGAAAAAAAATATGTCAAAAAAAAGGAAAACAAAAACCATCCGAAAATTCCTTTAAAAAAACAAGAAAAAAATAAAGAAATAACACCTCTTATACATTCGAAGGTTCTTTCTCAATGTCCATGCTCTCTGGCTCTTCTCACGTCTCTTTACTCTTGGCTCTTGTATTCTTATTTTTCAAAAAAAAAAAATATAAATTATTGATACACAATACACCTCATTAAAAACCCATAATCACCGTATTTTTTATGGTTTAAAAAAGGAAATAGAAAAAATTGGATATTTTGGACCAAAAAAACCCGAAAAACAAATATTGAGTTTACATGGCCATAGAAAGAGTTCTGAAAATTCCATAAAAAAAAACGAAAAAAACAAAATACCTCTGGCAGATTTGGAGGTTCGTTATCAGCAACCTTTGTTCTATTGCTCTCCTCAAAGTTTCTTTACTCCTAGTTCTTGTATTTTCTCTCTCCTATTGGCTATTGCTCTTTACTTCTAGTTCTTGTATGTTCTCTCTCCTTTTGGCTTTGCTTTCCTCAAAGTCTCTTTACTCCTAATTCTTGTATTTTCTCTCTCCTTTTGGCTTTGCTTTCCTCAAAGTCTCTTTACTCCTAATTCTTGTATTTTCTCTCCCCTATACCAATAGTAATGTATAGTCTCTCTACTATCTCTCGCTTTCTTCTTTATTCAAAAAATGGTTAGCTTCTCTCCCTCTTGTTCTTTATATGGCAATGTCTATGTTCTTTTCTCTTGTAAACTTGTAAAGCTTTGAAGAAAATAGCAATGTATAGTCTCTCTACTATCTCTCGCTTTCTTCTTTATTCAAAAAATGGTTAGCTTCTCTCCCTCTCGTTCTTTATATGGCAATGTCTATGTTCTTTTCTCTTGTAAAGCTTTATTTTCTTCAAAGCTCCCTCTTGTCAAATTTTCGTGCGTTCAAAAAACGGTTGACTTCTCTCTTGTTTCTTGCTATCAATTATTTGTTCTCTCTTGTTTCTTGCTAGCAACTCTTGTTTTCCTAAGATTAATGTCCATCTTTTCTTCTCTCGTGCAACTCTTTGTTTTCTTCACAAACCTCCTCCATCACTACTTGACTTCTCGAGCCCTTTGAGACTTGTCGAGTAGATAACCCTTCTAATCTTTTGGTTAATAATGTAGCCGTAGATATGGTTTTAGAGCGAGGTGAGACTAGAAAGAGGGGTACGTGACATGAGGGATGAGAGAATTTTTAGGAGTTGTATTTTTTAAAAATTTAAGAGAAAGAAATTTGGAACTCAACAAATAAAAAAAAGATAGTGAGAGATTTTAAGAGCAAGATAAAGAAAAGCATTAAGGAGAGAGATAGAAGAGGTGTGTGACATAGAGATAAGGGAGTATTTAGAAGTTGTATCATTTCAAATGTTGAGAGAAAAACTTGGAACTCAAAAAGGCTTGTATAAAAATATATTTGGAACTCAAAAAGGACTTGTAAAAAAAATTATAATGAGAGATTTTAGAAATAAAATAATTTTTTTTTTTTTTTTCAAAGAGATTAGAAAGATAAGTAAGAACAAAATATGAGTTCAAATTTTGAGGGAGGGCACATATACAAAATAATTAATAAATATTTGATAACTACATGTTGCAAAGAGAAAGGGCGATGAGAGAAAGGGTGATGATACGTGAGAGAAAAATGAGAAATTTTTAAGGAGCACCTTTTCAAACTTTGGTACGGGACCCATATTAAAATAATCGGTCGGCAAAGAAAACAGGGACTCTTCTCGCTTAAAATATAAAAGATACTGCATCATAGACTTTTTGTTAGGGTGGCATGACCTCTTTTCGCTTGAAATATTGAAGATAATACAACATAGACGATTATTTAGGGTTGTGTCCTTTGAGAAGGAAGGAAGGAAGGGATGGATTTCGAGCTGAGAGCCGCTAGGGAGAAGCTAGAGAGAGAGCAGAGAGAAAGTAAGGAGAAGGCGAGGATCAAAGCCGAGCGCGAGAGGAACGCAAAGATTGAAGCCCAGCGCAGGCGCGATGCCATTGAAGCAGCTCAGAGTATACGAAGGCTTGAAGCTGCAGAGGCTCAATCCATGGTATTTTATTTTTCAATCAAGAATCGAAATTTGTTCATCTCTTTGTACATATTTATCGAAATCTATGCTGGAGTCTGCATAAATTCAAGCTTTGTGCAATATTTAGATGCTTTCTATCACGTAACTACATCGATGTATCTTTTTTTGAGGAAGCTGTTCTGTTTGTGGAGCTTTGAGGTTCTGAACCATGAAATTGGCTAATTATGTTATTCAGAAAAAAAAAGTTACGGTAATTATGATTCTAAAGTTTCCTTATTTTAATTGGGAAGTAAGAACCCAACTCAATTTTGAAACTAGTTTGAATTGATTAAGGATTTGAAGAAGAATTATGTTGATGTGATACTTCATAGCCGCAATGGATCCCCCTTAACCAAAAGGGGGAGAAGATAAAAGATTAGGGTTTTCTGGGTGATTGTATTAGCAGACCTTATTTGAGATGTAGGGGTGGCAATGGGTCAGGTGTGGTCTGGGTCGATCCCAACCCAACCTTAGCTAGCAAATCGGGGAATAACAATGTATTGGGTCACCATAAATCAAATCTGTTTTGGTCCAAAAAGTTGAAAGCAAAAATTATGAAGAAAATATAGACTGGAAAAAGTACTGTACCTAAAAATATAGCAAATATGTTGGATTAGGCTCAAAAAATTGGTGTGAAAAAATCAGATATATTTAAAATTTTGAAATTTTAAAATTCTAAAAAATAACAATTTGTAAAAGAAACCATAAGTAATGATTCCATGAAAAGTTTACAAAAGTAATATAATTAGGTCAATTAATTTAGATGTCTCATGACTCTCATCCCATTGTCCAAAATTAAATACAAAAAAAGAAAAAACAAAAAATGATATAGCATAATAGAGTCACTAGAATGATACAAATTTAAATATAATAGAATCATCCGAGTTAATAGAAAGGTTAGGAGCTTGGGAAGGTCTATCCCTCAAATCATGTAGCCATGCATCATCATCATAGTCTTCATCATCTTATGTGGAGGTATACTCATTATTGATCTCTTTAAGAACCTCTTCTGGAAGTAAACTAAGCTCTTCAATATTAATTGCATTGCTATCACGCTTTTCATTTTACGAGATGCATCCATCTTCTTCGAGTTCATTCTTATGTAAACCAAGTCAGTTAACATAGTTGGTTTCAATTTATTCCTTATTTTGGTTTGTCGCCTCAAAAGCGCTCCAATTTCTTTCGCATGCTGATGAGCTGCATGGTTGGCTCAAAATCCAAAGAGCAACCATTCGAACCTGTTGAGCGCTTTCTCCACATGCTTCGTACCAAACTCCTATATGGTGAGAAATGTTTTAGCATTATATTCAAGATACAGTCAAAAGTGAAATAAAATTTATTTTTTTAAAGTAATGAAAAAGCTAATAGTACAAAAATACTCATGAGCATGAGTTGTTGACAATGATTCCATCGCAACACCAACAAATACATTTGGATCCTGTGTATGGTACTTCAACAACTCTGAAAAGAATGTATTTTTTTGGGGATCATTGTATCTAAAATCAAGGTAATGCCAACTTTCACTTCAAGATTATCAAGTTTAACAAACCAACCACACATTAAGGATGGATTAAGAAATGCGGCAACAACATGAATGGGATGAATTATATTTTTCTTTTGCATCTTTTCAAAATTCTTCAACAATTCAAGAAGTCTAGATTCATTGACATTATAATTCATCTTTAGTGCTTGATTTGCCTTTTTTTATTACTTCTTATAAGTACCCATTGGATGACCCCTCATTATTAACTAAATGAAGCACCTTGATAAGAGGCTCTAATGTGGTGGTTGCATTTATCTCATCATTCCAAAATTTGAAGCTTCAGATTATTTGAGGGATTCTTTTCCCATTTTGGCTCTCGTTATAGCTCTCCACTCAAAGAATGCACCCAACAATCTCAAACTCCCTTCTATTTGCACTATGGAATAAATTAAAGCCAACTATGTTAACCGACCGGGTTTACATAAGAGTGAACTCAAAGATGATGGATGCATCTCGTGAAAATGAAAAGCACGATAGTAATGCAATTAATCTTGAGGAGCTTGGCTCATTTCCAAAAAAGGTTCTTAAAGAGATAGATAATGAGGACACCTCCAAAAAGGATGATGATGGTGACCATGATGATGATGCATGGCTACATGACTTGGGGGGATACACCTTCCCAAGCTCTTAGCCTTGCTATTAATTATGATGACTCTATCATGCTTTATATTTAAACTTGGATTATTCTAGTGACTATTATTTTTTGTTTTTGCCGTGGCTAGCATTTAATTTTGGATAACGGGATGAGAGTTATGAGACTTCTAAATTAATTTTCTTAATTATATTATTTGAGTAAAATTTTCATGGAATCATTACTTATTGATTGCTTTTGCAAATTGCTTATTTTTTAAAATTTTAAACATTTCTGATTTTTTCACACTGATTTTGATCCTAATCCGACATATTTGCGATATTTTGTTGTACAATACTTTTGCCAATTTGTATTTTTCCCCAGAATTTTGGCTTCCGACTTTTTGGACCAAAATGGATTTAATTCCAATTTTATGATGAGCTAATATATTGTTATTCTTTGACTTGCTAGTTATGATCCATATAAGGAATACTATAAAATTTAATAAAAATCTGAACTTTACACTTTAATTTTCTATAATAACTACTAAAATACGCAACTCTAAAATAATAATAATAAAAGAAACCCATATCTTTAGTATGCAACTTGCGGATAAGCCGTATCTCTACTGCACGAGATAATAAACCCCAACAGGAGATAAACCTAATATTTGGAGATACAGCTTCTTTTCTAGGGAATGTATTTTTTTTGGAAAATATCATATTTTTAAAAGGGATAAAAACAAAAATGTCAAAAAATAGGAAAAAGTTGTACACCTTTCAAAATAATGAAAATTTAGAGGTAATAAATGGAGAATCTTGTTGAACATTTTTTTTAAGTTCAATATAACACGTTTTAAACATTTTCATGAAAATATCGCATTTTTTTTACTAATCTTTTGAAATGGTAGCAATTTTAAATATTGTTTTAAAAAAATGCCTTTTTTTTTTGTTGAAAAAATTGCCTTTAAAATGGTGACTTGCTAACTATGACCCAACTAGGTCTGACATGGACCTAGACCTGAGTTGAACTTGGGTCGGGTCCAAGTTATTGGGGCCGAACCCAAACGCGAACCTGACCTACCGCATCGGGTTGGGTTTGGTTCTAGAAGTAAAAAAAATAAGAGATTTATTGACATTTTATGTATTTTTATGCTTATATATATTGGGTCGGGTCGAGTCGATAGGGTCCAAACCAGAGCCGGACCTGACTTACTGTTTCAAAAAGCGCTAGGCGGGTCCTAGGCGGCCTGGGGGTCCAAGCTGCCCAGCGCCTAGGCGGGCGCTCAGAACCTGAGCGGCCTAGTTGAATAAAAAAAGGATTCTATAGTCTCTAACAATATATATATATATATTGTATAAAATATAAGAATTAGGTATTTAGGGCAAATTAGAATTCAAAAGTATACGACACATAGCACACACTCCATAAGCATAACCTTAAGTTGGTCCATATCCAATTAAAGCTTAAAATTTACCAACCAAGTTATCAAATACCAAAACTGTGGAACTACAAATCCATTATCCACAATACACAACCAAGAGGAAGAAAAAAAAAATGAAAGTAATACTTGAAGACTCAAAAAAATATTCAATCAATGTTCAAAGTTTAATCATTATTCATCATTCATCATCAGAAAAAGTAGGGCAGCTGCATTTGCATCATATGCATTGGAGTTGTCACCTTTCTCGACATATTGGTTGTCCTCCTTCGCCTCTTTTGAATCTGCCTCTTCCTCCCCCTCTTCCTCCACCCTCATCCTCTGTGCAGAAGATCTAGTGGCCCGGAGGGTCAGCTGATGTCCCTGAAGCTTCCATGACCATGTCCCATGTCAATCCTTCATGCCCCTCGACCTCATCATTATCAACTAACCACTCCATAGCATTGTCCATGCATCCTTCTTAACTTCGACAACATCCTTCGTGACACTCATTGCTTTTTTCAAAAGAGGCTCTGAAAGCTCATATGGGGTTGGGGGTTTCATCCCAGGCCCAAATTGGCCAATTGCCTCTACCAAGGCATAAAAGCTGCTTAGGCGAGTGGTATTGAAAGGAATGCTTGCTTCATTAAACCATGGAGCAATAAAAAAAGCGGCTTTATCTCTCTCTTCCTTTTTCATTCTATTTTCAATAGTGATTTACTTCTTGTTTTCTCTCCTGCAACCTCAGGGTCAAGCCGGGGAAAAAAACTATCCATAGGGCCTCTAACCCAAGGCTTCTTACTCCCAAAACCAGAAGCAATTATAGCTCCCTTTCCCTTTCCCCTAATAATGGATTGTTCTACCGCTTGACATCCCTCCCCATAACTGACCTGATCCACAGACCTAAGCTCTGCTATGGAGGCAAATTTCTCATCTTTTTTCAGTTTTATCATATTAAAAAAATTGTTTATTTCCTCTTTAATAACTTCAGGAGTTTTTTTACATGGGGCAACATCTCTCCCGATACCGGCAATATGTTTCTTGAATCGATTTATGCCCCTTTTGTATCTTTCTCACAAAACTTGCATCTTATGCAATTTTTATCATTAGGATCTGGGTTGTAGTTATATTTTCAACTGGGATCACCACTCCAATTAGATCTCGAAGAAGACATCTCAAAATAATACAACTTATATAAGCAATAGAAAAAATCACTTACTTTGAGTTTGATTGCTCAATCTCCAAACTTCCACCTCTAAAATGGGATCTAATGGGTTTTAGGTTTCAAATGAACCTAAAACCCATAATTTTGGCCCTTAGTATAAAAAAAATAACAAAAAATGAACCTACTGAGTGCCTTTTCTACCTCTGGGCGAGGTGCAGTCACTTGGGCACTGGGCGGCCGCCTAAGCAGGTTCCTGGGCGTCTAGGGTTTTCCGCCTATTTTTGGCAACTAGGCCTGGGCGATGCGCCTAGGGCTCCTGGACTGCCTAGGCTACCGCTCAGGCGGTGGGCATTTTGCTTTTTGAAACACTGACCGGACCCATGTTGGTCCCAACCGGACCTGCCAAGACGTGATGGGTTGACTTGACCGGATTGCCACCCCTATTGAGATGGATGAGAAATAAAGTTGGATGAGAGGCCACCCACCATAGGAGCTCTTCCGTTTTGCTAGTGTTTACGTTGCAATTTCACTTGAATAAAGTTGTTAATGATCAAAACCAAGAAATTCATGAGATTGATAGTTATGATTCTTGTTGATTCCAAATTAACGTAGAACTCACATGCCTCACCTTGAAGCTCTTATTCAATGGTGATTTCTCCTTGCCATAAGTAAAGGGTGGAAAAGGGAAGGGCAAAGAGGTTATATACCATTGTATAGTTGAAGAGTCTAGAGCACTTAATAAATTGTGAGAATGGTTAAGGAGATCTGTTCAATAATTTGATGTATGATCTCTTACAAGGAGTATTTGTTCTACCTGTTGTTGTACTTGACCTACACTCATGGGTTTAAAACGTGGATGCCATTCATAAAGAACTGGTATTACTTGTATAAGTTGAGGGATTTGAGAAGGTTGTGCTATCCTTGTCGTGAAATGTGCAACTTCTGTAATTTGCTATTCTGCAACTTGTAACAGCTAGAAGGTCCTTTCCCACATTTGATTCATGACTGGGAACATTGTCCATTTCTAAGTAAAATAGATCTATATAAGAGCTTTATGATGACCGTAGTTCTTAAATGGTTTCTAAAATAAATAGGATTAATAATTGTTTTTAGTTAGGGCTGTTAAGCTCTTTATTGGAGACAGTAAGACATGTATATTTAGATTGGTCAGTTATCTTTTCTAGGTCTGGCGGATCCTAATTACATTAAGAAGGTTCTTGATTGGGCGGCCAGGAACTAATTAATCATGTCACGTCTTAAACCTTTTGAATGAACTATACTGCCTGCTATTTGTTTATTACCACGAATTGTGATTTGTGAATGAATTTTCTTGTATTGGGGATGAGGTAAACTTGTCTTGGAAGCAGATGTGAACAGTGCGCCAAAGAAAATAAGTCAAGTGGAATTCCATTTTGAATACTTGAAGTGAAGAATTTGAAATTACTTAATCTAAGAATTATTGATTAAAAAACAAATCTAAGTGTTATAGATATTAGTTACCGGCGGCACCTTGCAAGCATCAAAGGATGTAGGTGAAGAAGACAACTACCTGTTTAGACCTCCTGAAATACCACGAAATTGTTGGCTCTGGGAGTGGAAATGCCAGCAATCACCAGGTTTGTTCAACTGAGCTATAGGCTACTTATGACGTCTGGAACATATTTCCTATCTACTGCCAATCCCCACATTCCACAGTGGGTTCACCCTAGACAATTTTGTTCACCATGAAGAATAACACTAACCACAATTGCATTATGAAATTGAACTCTAATTTTTAGTTCCTCTTGAAGACATAGAGACTTTGGAACCTTATTTCCACCAATTTAGTGACCTTTTTTAAAGAAGAGGTTTCACACTTTTTTGAATGACTTTTTCATTTGCATGTGGCTCAAATTTATTCATGTCGTTTACAACTCCATACTTTACCAAATCATTTAAATCTCCTGGTAGTAGGGACACGCATAATTTTAAGAGAGGAACGAGGTAACTTTGGACTTATGCAAGTGACAAGTTGTGTAGTTTCCTAAAATATGCAACTGACGGTAAAATCCTTTAGATATTTCGCATGATGATTGCTCTCCTCTCGACCTTCTATTTCTTTAGCATAATTTATATTTTTCATATTTATTGTCTATTTTGCCTTCCAAAGAGCATAGTATTTTCAATCAACAATAAAAGTAGAGATTTATACCTTTCAATGGGGATATCTTGGTTTGGTGGGTGATGGGCATCTTTTGTACCATTTTTTCATACTTGGATTGCTGCAAAAGGTTCTTCATCTTGTTATGCCCTGTGGAAATGGGTGTTTGCAAATTTTGTGCGTGTGTTTCTGAGGTTTTTTGGAAAGCGGTTTACTGGGTCACGTAAAGCTTCACTAGATAAAGTAGCTGTACTAATGGAAGTGCAAAGATGCTTGTCATTTCCAGCATGCTTGGATCTGATTTACTTAGGTGGAAGTAGGAACTGGACTTGAAAGAAGTCACATTCTGAGCATATGGAATTATGGTAAACAAACTGAATTGAGAATTAGGAAGCTTTGCATGTCCATGGTATACTGGTGAGAACTTCCCTTCAATAGGTTGTCATTCAATCAATTTCTATTTGGGTCTGTGCGTGCATGCTCGCAGCTTGTGCATCTGAAATTGATGTAGGGAAGATGGGAAAAAAATCGAAGTAAAGGAATGAGAGATTATGTCCTCTCTTAAGGTCTGCAAGGGAGTTAATAATTCCGAGCCCTTCACATTAAAAAATCAACTTCTAATATTACCCTTCAAATCTAATAAAGAACTACAAAAATAGCCCTAAAGAAAACTGGAAACCCAAATGAACCCCAAACCTAAAATATAGAAAACAGTAAAATAAAAAAATAAAATAAAACACCCATTTCAACATTCTAAACGGGTTGGGAAATATTCATCTTTAAAAAAATGAATTGACAATTATTCTCAAAAAAAAAAAAAGTTAGACTTCAACCCGTCAATTCTCTATAGCTTAAAAAAGACATAAATACCCCTAAACTCTTGATATCCAGCTCGTAGTAGAACCTTGGAATGCCCAAGTTAATCTTCAAGGATTTGTATTTCACATACTATGACTACCGTATCTTCTTCTTCATAATTGATTGTAGGAATTTGAAGTACTTTTCGGTTGTTGTCAATATCTTTTGCACTGAGATTTACCTATTCATATTCTTGTTGCTCCTGTTGCATTCTGAGAAGTAGATCTTGTAAACCTTGTTGTATATTCTGCCAATGCATTCCATCATTTGATCCAATCTCTTCATAATTGGATCGGTCGATGTATTTGTTGGCATCATGGCTTATCAATCTCAAGGCTCTGATTCCACTGGGTGTAGAGAGAAGCTCTAATACCAATTGATGTAGGGAAGATGAGAGAAATAAATAAATTAGAAAACTAAAAAAAAAGAAAAAAAAGAGAAATTATACCCTTTCTTGGGGTCTGGAAGGGAGTTCACCCCAACTAGATATCTGCACAAGATTTAAAACCAAACTAATTTCTCTTCACTCTCCTTTTCTAGTCTAATTGTTACATATTCAAAGAAGAAACCAACTCTAAACCCTAACTTGCACCCTAAGAAATCCTAATAAATAATTCCTAGATCTTCATCTTAAAAGAAAAGTTCCAATACTACCCCTCAAATCTCTACAACAAAAAGTGATAAAGATAACCCTAAAGAAAACTAAAAAACCGAAAAGAACTCCAAACCTAAAATCTAGAAAACGGTAAAATAAATAAATAAAATTAAAACACCGATTACATCTGAAAAGCGGAAATGTTCTGGCTTATGAGACATGCTTATTTTAGTTGAGAACGAAATTTTTGTTCTTCAAAATCTGCTGTCATCAAGTAGGGTGTCACAGTGAACTCTATTTAAATTTATGTCTGCCTTCTTTTTGGGGGATGCTTGAGTCTACATAAAAGCTTATTCTGAGCTTGGTATATGGCTGATGTCTTGTCTTTTGGTAAAGAAAATACCAAGCAAATGTCTCTAAAAGATCCACCTCTGTTTTGGTTCATGAAAGTTTCTGGTGTCATTTCTCTAGGAATAACCCTGCGGAAATCTGTAGTTGATGCGCAAACAAGTGTGTGGGAAAGGTCTGTTATTTGCAGTCAGATCAATTAAGTATTTCCTTTTTCTTTAATCTTCTTTTTGAATTCTTCTTAAATTAAGGAAGAAAGAAAAGCATTAACTATAATTGCTAACAAATATGCTAAGCTGGGATTAACCTTCAAGAACCTTTTGGAAAGTGTTCTTCATTTGTCATTTGTGTTGATCATGTCAAATATACAAATGAACCTCAGCGAATTGATAGTTGTGTCCTTGCTTCCTATCACTCAATTAAAACTGAAAGCGCAATACCTTTTTTCTAAATTTACTGCAAGGCGAACTATGTAATATGCTCACCTTTTGTGAACAGATCTTTATTATTCTATTGTTGGTTTATGCAAGGGGAAGCTGTGAATATGTGTTGAACACTCTGATTTATTATCTTTGCTCTTAGGCAAATCAACAAATGGAGGAAAATCTGCTTGCTGGAGATGGAGTTGCATTCTTCCGATTACTAGAATCTGTACCTTACCAAGGTCATGGAGACAAGATCAAGTTACCAGCTTCGGCCTTCACAGAACTCTCTGACCAAGGGGCTCTTGATAAAGGTCCCATGTTCTTCGAACTCTCAAAAATCCACCAAGAGGGCTCTTTGGGACATGATAACCATGGAAAGACCCATTCAGGTGTTCTTGAATTCACTGCAAATGAAGGATTTGTTGAGCTTCCCCCGCATGTGTGGAACAATTTATTTTCTGGGTTGTCTTTAAATTCCCCATTGGTTGAGGTTCGCTATGTGAGATTGCCAAAGGGGACATATACGAAACTCCAACCAGATAGAATGGGGTTTTCAGACCTACCTAACCACAAGGCTGTCCTAGAAACAGCTCTTCGGCAGCATGCAACACTTTCTCAAGGTGAAATACTTAGTGTCAACCATGGGGGCCTGAGTTTTAATCTGAAGGTTCTTGAACTGAAGCCATCTTCAAGTGTATCTGTTCTAGAAACTGATGTTGAGGTTGATATAATTGAAGCTGATTCAGGGTCGTCAAATGTGCAGACTGTGTTGATTCCTCTTTCACTTGGCAAGGTGGAAACGGGGTTTGTTGAAGAGGGTCAATATAACTATTACAAGTTCTCAATTGACGAAAATATTCATAAGAGAATGATTAGCAATAATATGAATATTAAGGTCAAGTTGGAAGTGAATATGAACAGTGGTGACAATGATCTATATGTCTCTAGGCATCCCATCTTATTCCCAACTCAACATCAACACCAATGGTCATCTCATGATTTGGGTTCTAAGGTCCTCATACTTGGTGCCAAAGATCTGAGCGTAGTTATCGGTACATATAGCATTGGTGTCTTTGGATTTAAAGGATCAAGTAAATATCACATATCAGTGACCCTTCAAGAGAATACCATTAATCGGAAGCTTGGAGAGATGGCTGTTTCTTCCTCTTCTCAAGTGGATGGAGACTCTGAGGAGTGTGGAAACTGTCACCGTTTCATACCGAGCAGGTCGATCGTGCTCCATGAGGCATACTGCAGACGGCATAATGTTACGTGTCATCATGATGGTTGTGGGGTGGTTCTTCGAAAAGAGGAAGCTTCAAAGCATGTGCATTGCCAAAAGTGCGGGCAAGCTTTCCAACAAGAAGAGATGGAGAAGCACATGAAAGTGTTCCATGAGCCATTTCCTTGCCCATGTGGAGTTTTCCTAGAGAAGGAAGCAATGGTGAGGAGGAGCGTTCACTTCTGGCTCTAGGTGCTTTTGAATAATCCAATGCACTAAGGAAAGCCGTGGTCCATTGGCATCGGGACCATCCCATGAAATATAGATGGTGATAACAAGAGAGGAGTGTGGTACCCACCAGAAGTGGAAATGATAGAGATGGTGGGTCCCATTCTCTCCGTTGCTATCCATCATTTTATCGTGATGGTGATGATCCCAATGGAATATGATTCTTCCTTAGTCCATTGAATTAGATTGGATTAGAGTGACTTCTTCCTTGTGTCACTCAAATGATGTGTTGATTTTTTTCCTTGCAGGTAGTGCACCAGGGATCCGAGTGTCCGTTGCGTTTGATAATGTGTAGGTTTTGTGGGGACATGGTTCAAGCTGGGGCTGGTCCTTTGGATGTGAGGGATCGATTGAGAGGGCTCTCAGAGCATGAGAGCTTGTGCGGGTCTAGAACGGCCCCATGCGATTCGTGTGGTCGGGCTGTCATGCTAAAGGAAATGGAGATCCATAGAGTTGCTGTGCATCCAAAGAATTGAAACTATTCATTCTCCCAAAGTCTCCACAACACAGCGATGAAACAGTCACCACATTTCTTCAGCGGTCTGGATTCATGTATACAACATGTTTTTCTATTTCTTGGCCATATATTTATGTATTTAATTATGGCTTTGTGGATTTGTGTGAATAATTGTACATGGATTATTTATGTTGTTGCGGAAGGAGATTCAATTGTCGTGTACCGTTGATTTATACACTTAGGTTGTTGAAATCATCATTGGACTGGGATTATTTATTTATTTATTTCTTATTGTTTATATTTTTTTAATACCTTAATGGTGGCATGGAGAGTTGGACGTTACGGTGAGGCATCAGCCCTCGCCAAGGTCCCAACCCCAGTCTTGGATTGTTAGAGAGAGCTTAATCTCCAAACCAACTCCCTTAGTTTAGGGACGTGGTTGTGTTTGAGAGCTTGGGAGAGACTTTCCACGCCTGCCAAGTGGTGAGTGTCATCTCTCTATCCATCATCAATGGATACCTTGTCGAACTAGATTTCTAGAGAATTTATCGAAATGTATCTAAGAGGTAAACTATTTTATATTGGGAGAAGTTTATATAGAGCCGAGCCTCTAAACTATCAAATTAGATCCTACTTCAAAAATTTTACTAGATGAGATTGTTTTGTTGTCCAAATATCTTCAAATTGATCATCTCGACATCAAGATGCATGGACATGAGAAAAAAATGGATTGCAAGTTTTGAAAATAGTGTATTTTGTGACGTCTTTTTGGACCATCAATTTTCAAGATTTTTATAGATATGTCTATCACTATTATTTTTGAAGCTTTATACTTTATAAATAACAACGAAAATATATTTTAATGTAATCACAAAGATTTTCGTATTGAAATTACATTTCTTGATAGTATTTGAAGGTAGGCTCTAATTTGATTGTCTAGAGCTTAGGCTCTATACAAACCGCACTCTTTAATATTTTGGGAAAGGTTTTTATACTTCCTCGACAGCATAGAAGATCTATGCTTCCCTTACCATCTAGCCGTTCAATTTTAATCAAGAGAGTCACTCACCGTTTGATCTTAGAGCCGAGGTCTCAAAGGATTTTATTTTTAGTATTTTTATATAAATTGTATGAATATGAAATTTTGTACATGCCATCTTCTCATTGGGGCGCATCTATAAAAAGTATTAAAAATAAAATATAATACCCAAAATTTTCGATAAAATATAATATCCAAAATACTTTTCAGGGGTATTTTGGTCATTTTATTTTATTGAAAATATTTTTTATATATTTTTCTCTAGTGCGAGTTTAATAGAGGATTGGATGTAGAAAATTTGGTGTCAAAGTAGTTTATAGAAAAAAATTAAAAATAAAATAGTGTAGAGACGTGACATTGTGATTGGGGCAATCTTAGCCCTCCATTTAGAATGGACGGTTGGATAAGGAAAAGTATATAAGTTTTATATTGTAAGGGAAGCATAGAAATCTTGCCCTAATATTTTATTCATTTCCTTTGATTTATTTTCAAATTGCCTATCAAAATACACATGATCATGACTTGGAATAATAACAAAAAGATAAAATGGTATAGAGTTGATAAGTTAGGTGTATTTTGATATTTTTTTCTGAAAAAAAAATAAATGTCAGTCCGCAGGTATCATTATAAACAAACTCATGTTTGTATTAGTGTCTTTTAAAAAAATACTAAGCAAGGGCACCCTGGTCTGTTCCCCATTCCAATTTGGACTCCAACTCGGGCGAGTTTGAGATGGTTTGGGGTAGAGTTGAGATGTATTTTTATAAGAAAAATTTCAAAGATCATTAAAAATATGGAGAATTTGCATATGATTCGGAGTCTTAGTTGGATAGGCCATTTAGTCTTATTTAATAGGCAGCTTTTCAAACGCTGATTTGCAGGGTCCGTAATGGCGAATGTAACAAATATTTGCCTCCAAGCACATTAATATAAGAACAAAAACAAGAATTAGCGCGCTTAGTCCCCTCCCAGTGGCAGCCCTTTGGGCGTTTGATTGACAATTCGTTTGACCCAGTAGGGGTGGCAATTGGGACCCGTGGACTTGAAACCAGATGGGTAGACCCGACCCTGGGTCCGGGTAGGGGTCTAGGGGTTGGACCGATGGCTCAAGTCTGGATTCAATAGCTTGGATCCGATGCATGTTCGGGTCGGGCTTGGCCCTGGGCTTGGGTCAGGGTCTAGGTCCAGGTCCGAGTAGTACCTCTATTTGTTTTTTGAATTAAATGTATATATATTCTTAATATAAAAATTGATTTTCAAGTTGGGTGTGGGTCGCCCATAAGACATTTGGGCCTGGGTCCAGCAACTTTGGACTTGATCGGGTCTAGTCCGAGTCCCATAGTATATTTTTTAATAGATTCGACCGGACCCGTTGCGATCCCTACTTTGATTAGGTTTAATTGTATGGGTTACAAGTCCTGTCTTGTTTTTATTGAGAAAGGAATACTGAGTGATAGACGACACGTATATATACGATGGCTTCAGGGTTCTATTAAGGGTACAGTTTACGCAAGGGTCTTGCCGGAAGATGTAAACATGGTGTCTGAAATTCCTAAGATAACCTAAAAGTCTATTTCAACATTTAATATAAATTCAAAAGTTTAAAAAATAGGTCGAATCTACAAATATTTAAAAATCTTAAAAATAAAAGGTCCAAAATGATGCATTACAATATGAACTATTTTTAAGACTTGAAATAAATTTATTTAAATATACATACATCTCAAAGTCGAGATAATCAATTTGAATATTTTCCAACATCAAATAACATTTTCTATGGTGGGTGAGATGCAGTTTACTTTTATAGTATAAAGTTGAGCTTGGTTGTGAAGTTGCTGGAGAAAATAAAATCCTTTCAAACTCGTGGATTTTCAAAACCTCAACGAAATTTGACATAGGTGATAACATGATCGTTATATGCCTCAACCCAAAAGGGCAAGAATTTAAAAAGAAAAAAATTAAAGAAAAGAAGTATTATTGCTTCAAAAAGGGAAATTGTTGTATTGGACTTTGGAAAATAAAAAATGTACCAAAAATTTTCAATTTTACAATGCTGTCCCTTTTATCTCAAATTTCTTTTGCAAAATTACCCCGGATTCGAACTACTTTGTTTTTGTTAAAAACAAGTTCGCAGGGGCAAACTAGTTTATATTTATTGCTTAGCTCAACCCTTCAAGAGTTGAACCGGTTATTATGACTAGTTTAAGTTTGACTAAGGATCGAACTTGTGTTTGATCCTTCAGAGGTCAACTTAATAATATAAAATTAGTTTGATCATTCAAAGGTCTAACTCATAGAAACAACACAGGAAACATAGGGATTAGGCTCAAAACTATAAGAACATGTAGAGAATGTGATTTGCACAAGTCGGCAACTTTATTTGTAGAAAACTTTATTTGTAGAAAAGGTTGGGGTGGTTTACACTTTCTATTTCAGATGGACGGTTAGATTAGACAATGTCTGTATTTAAGTGGTAAGCCTTTTGAAACAGTGCCAAATTTATGTGTTCAAATAAAATGACAGTGTAGATTAATGGAGCCTTATACAAATAAGGTAGCATCCTTATAAAAGCATTTTTTATAGATAAGGTGATTCGAAATCACGTAACTTTCCCACAGAGATGGTGCATGAGGCTAGCTGGTGCATCAGGCTGCTGCGTGATGCTGGCAGAAGGGTCGGGTGGTGCTTTTGGCCAGTCGAGTAGTGTGTCAAGGGAGGTTTATTGGCCCTGCCCTTGACCAACGCGCATGCACTGAGTTAGTGTCCTGACTACCTAGTTTGAAGCCCATTCACAACTAGGCCAATCTAACAAAGATTAAGATGATTGGGATAAGATGTCAAAGCAATCTGGTGGGTAGGATGGCCAAGACCCTTTTTTTGAGAGGAAGATATACTTTAATCAAGTCTACCCTATCCAATCTTCCAATATAGTACATGTCTTTATTCCGAATACCCATGCAAATTGTCAAATATCTTGAGAGGGTAATGAGAAACTTTCTATGAGGAAATGTAGATGAAAAAAAGAAACTACATTTGGTGAAATGGAAAATAATTTGTAATCCGGTTACAGAAGGATGTTTGGGTATCAAAAGATTGAATTTCATGAATTCTAGTTTATTGACTAAATGGTGGTGGAGGATACACTCCTAGCGAAATGCCTTTTGGTGGAGTTTTTAAGAGAAAAATATGGAGAGGATATCCTCATTGGTCTCATTAAGAGTCCAAGAAGTAAGTCTAATTTTTCTTTTTTATGGAAAATCATTGATCGCTGTAGGGGGACTTATTTGAATCATATCAGGAAGGTGGTTGGTGATGGAGATCAAACCCTCTTCTGGTTTGATAGATGGTTAGGTGATGAGCCTTTGAGATTCCAATACCCAGAGGTTTTTACCAAAGTTTTGAACCCCCTCACTACTGTAAAAGTGGCAATTGGGTGTTTTTAGTAACTTTATTTGGTCTTTTCCTTGTAGGTACAAGAGGGTCTCAAACTCTTTCATTAATGCTAATCTAAATTTGATGAATACGCTGCAGAATATATTACATTTTACCCAATAAAGAAGATTCCATTTTTTGGGAATGCACTAAGTCTAGGGATTTCATAGTCAAATCTACCTATAGTTTGTTGTTTGCAAATCACTGAAGTGTATCGGATCCCTGGTTGCGAATGACTAGAAAGATCAATGTGCCCACAAAAATTCATTTGTTAGGAACGTCTTGCAACAATAGACAATCTTAGGAGAAGGGGCTTCAATATCGAGAATGTGTATATCTTGTGCGAAATTGACCATGAAAGTGTCTCTCATCTTTTCTTGGAGTGCCCCATTGCATTGAATATGTGGAGCTAGGCCCGTCAATTGTTCAACCTTCAAGTGCTCATTCCAAGAAATACTAGATCTCTTCTTGAGCAATGGATAATGTTGTGCGTGGAATAACACCAGAGATCTCTAAGATTGGTATTATCCTTTGGAGGTTAGTTTCGGTGAGCATGCTTTGGAGAATATGGAAGGATCAAAATAGAAGCATCTTTTAAGGAGTGGTATTGGAAGAAACTATCATTACATCAAACATCGTAGCATTGGCTGCAGATTGGTTTTCTAATAATAAGGATTGTACATGTATTACCAAAAGCTATATAATATTGGAAAAGCTAATCTTCATAGCAATAGGGCAACCCGGAGTGCCATATGGATTCCTCCTCTGTCAAACACCTATAAGCTCAACTTTAAAGAAAGTTCCTTTAGAAATCCAGGGACGACGGGTTTTGTTGGGGCTTATAAGAGATCATCATGGACGAATCCTATTGTCTTACTCTAGTCCTTGTGGTAATACAAAAGTCAATGACGCATAACCTAGAGGTTTATTGGAGGGAATTAAATTGCTCTCAAAATTAGATGGAGGAAAGGTTATTGAAGGGGATTCAACAAATATTATAGGTAAAGGGGAAGCGAGAGTTCATTGGAGACACTCTTCTATTTTTCATGAAATTAATGACATTCTTCAGTTTATTGAGTTTGAAATATACCATTGCTACCGTGAAGCAAATGCTAAAGCAGGTTCTTTAGCCAAGGGAGGTGCCTTTCAATCGTCATTGGCGATTACCAATTTCTTGTGATGTTCTTTTATGTAACTTGATTCCCTTGTAACTCTATTCATTTTTAGTTAATAATAGTCATGTGTTAATGTTAAAAAAAAAAATAAAAATAGGCCAACTTACTTCTTTTTAATCCAATATACCGATAAGGACCAACGCAATCCTTCGCTTCCATACTTTCCATAAGCACGGTCAAATTTGAACGGGTTTGATCCACGAAGTCGACTTTACAACAAATATAAATTAGTTAGTTTCGAACAAGAGATAATTTAGCAATTTTAAAAATGAAAAAATTTATATAAGGGCGAGGTCCTAAACAATCAAATTAAGACGCATCTTAAAAATTCACTAGGTTGTTTTGATACCCAATTATCGTCAAATCAATCATCTTGCCCTCAAGATGTATAAACATGATAAAAAAATGAATTTCAAGTCTTAAAATAGTACATCGCATAATGCATTTTCTAGACTGTCTATTTTCAAGATTATCAAGTGTTCATAGATCTTTTTGATCTACACTATTTTTGAAGCTTTAGATTTATAACTAACAATGAAAATAAGTTTTCAAGTCATTACAAAGATTTCAAGTATTGAAATATTATCTTTTGACACTATTTCAAAATGCGTCTTACTTTGATTGTTTATTGCCTCAACTTTATACAAACTACACCCATCCACGGTCAAATCCCCATCCCGAAACAATAATAGTAGGTGGTTTGATTGTTTGGGGGCCTCCGCCTCAAACTAGAGGAAATCGTTTATATAGAGCCGAGGCTCTAAACAATCAAATTAGGGCTCATTTCAAAAATTTCACCTGAAGAGGTTGTTTTGATGCTCAAATGTCCTTAGATTGATCATATCGACATCAAGATGCATGGACATGAGAAAAAAATGGATTTCGAGTTTTGGAACTTCAATTTTTAATTTTTCATAGATCTGCTCGACCTGCATTATTTTTTAAGCTTTAACTTTTATAATTTAAGATAAAAATATATTTTAAGGCTATCACAAAGATTTACAGTATTGAAACTACATTTTTCGATACTATTTGAAGATGCAATTTATTTTGATTGTTTAGAGCCTCGGTTCTATACAAACCGTATCATGTTAAGCCGATTGAAATGATCAGATTACCGACTAGGCCGGTTAAATCGCTTTCAGCTCCATGTCTGCTTAACCGATCATGTTCAATTTTTCCTACACCCATTTTACGTTAAAAAGTTTCAAATGAATGATTATCCGAATCGCACCTAACATAAAGATTTTTTAAAAATTCTAATAATTTTTTGAATCGCTTTTTTACTCTTTAATCGACAGCTGAACTGGGGAGTAAACCTGCGATGAGATCTGATAATTACGCGCATGCACCCATCCACTGTCAAATTCCCATCCCTACCTGATGTGATAGATCACCTTCCATCTCTCTCTCTAAAACCTTCTCTTCCCATCTCTCTCAGAATCTTATTTCTTGCTCTCTGAAAAACTTCGTTGCCACAAAACATTTCCTTTCCCGAATCCAAATTCTATGAGTGGGGAGAGAGAGATCCGTGAAGGCTGAAACTGGGACTGACACGGAAATGGCGGTTAACCCTGCGTTATTGAAGCTCTTACTCGCTCTCATGGCCCTTTCTCTCTCTCTCTACATCTTGGGTCCTCCCCTTTACTGGCACATCGTAGAAGGAATTGCCGCCTATCGCCATTCCTCTTGCCCTCCTTGCGTCTGCGATTGCTCTTCCGAGCCTCTTCTAACCATGCCTTCAGGTACTCTCTCTCTCTCTACAATGGACTCTTCCTTATGGGAATGATTTGGAGTGCTGGGTTTTTTGTTTAACCGCCTTTTGTGAATTGCGTTTACTTGTCCCTGTAAAATTAGCTTTCTGGTAATTGAATCGGTTAACTTGCTGCTAACTGCTGATTAAATTTGTTCTCCTCTCAGTTGAATTGGCTTGATTTGCCTGTGATCTTCTCTCTAAAATTTCAAGTGGATAATTGCGGGTTCAATTTCTCTATGAAATTAGTCTATTGTCAATTGGATTGGGCTGATTTGCCTTACCCTTCTTTTTAAAATTCGAACTAGATCTTTGCCGGTTCATAATTGATTTGTATAACTTTGGATTGGACCATGGTTTCTCCCTAGTCTAATGTTAATTCTTCTTAATGCTAAGCTCTGTACAGTTAGTTTGCCACTTCATAGAATAATTGCAATCAGTGCATAACCCAATGCGTATATCACTTCTTTCTTAGAGTTGAATTTAAGTTACTTTCAGCTGCCTATTCTGCGATCCAGCTCGGTTAACACCACGTCGTTACTTGGGTTTCAATCTGTCAGATCTTGAAAGATGGGATTTGCAGTTTGTTGTCTAATTTTGTTGGATGTATTTTGAAGTGAATCTATTGAGAGATCTGAGATAGAAGAATTCCAACGTTTAAAGTAGTAACGATTTCCAAGGACCCATTCATTAAAGTCTAACTCAATTCAGATCTTTAGGTAACGATTTGCAGCCAAAAGGGACAGGGGCATTACATTGTAAAAGCTTCCTTTTTTAAGGAAATTTCAAGATCAGTTACTTGAAAATTTGCATTTTTGTACTTTTATCAATAGAGTTCGTTGAGATGAACAATGAGCACAAGACTGTCAATATCTCATGTGTCATCCAATATTATGGCTGAACTTCCGTGGCAACTCAGATGCTTGCTTTACATGGTTTTGACTTCAGGGTATTTCCTTCTGCAAGGTATTTATCTTACTAGATTAAATTGAGGACTTCTGATTGAACTTTCTTGGACAGATGTTTAAATTGCATCTAGGATCATTTTGGTTCGTTCCTGGCTGGGTATGTTTTCTAAGAATGTGGGATTGAACCTTGTATTCCATATGATTGGACTAGAAATCATGAAATGCCTGTTTGCATGGTGAAATTGTCTCAAACCCATTCAATTTGAATAAAATTTGATTATGGGAATTCTTTATTTCTGGATTACCATTTGTTGTGCGGCACGAAAAGGAGATTTTCCTCCATCCAAACCTTAAAAAATGGATGAATTGTGTAAGATGGTGTCACTAATGAGGGGCTAGTTTTGCCTATTTCACATTCAGAACACAAACTTAATATAGTATTTGTCATTCCCATCCTGTTATAAGTTGGTGGCATTTTGAACGTGCACATTCTTTCAAACGTCCTTTATGTTTTTGTCTTCATCTGAAGTAACTCGCATTATATTCTTCATTTAAATATTATATACTAATGGCCTTGCAAGCTTTTGTCCCAAGAGTATTTATTATCCTTCCAATTTCTTATTCATATTATAAAGTTGACAAATTTATTTCACTTGAAAACTAACATCTAAGTAGTTAGCAAAATGTGGTTTTGTCATTTGGACAAAAATGATCCTCTGGAACATCAAGTTCAATGCATTTTTGTTTGAAGGTCTATGATATTGATGTTCAAATCAAGGGTTCTAACATAGGAGTCCACAGTGGGAAGTTATGGTTGTTATTTTGGAATTTTGATTGTCATTTTCAAAAGCCTATTTTTTCAATAATACAATTGCTTGATCACTTGAGTTCCCATGGAGGGTATGGTGAAGAGTCAGTGGTTGTTTCCCTTGATGTGTAATCTGTTCTTTCCAAGTTCCCATGTCAAATGTATCTAATTTAGGGGCAGTCAGCTTCTTTATCTGTTCTCATTCGTGATATATCAAATTGGACATGTTTGATCTTGAAAGTGGGTTCCCACGGTGAAGTTGGCCAGGGAACATAACTGGTGTATAGAAGTCATAGGGCATAGCCAAATAACCATGCTAGCACTAAAGGACACAATGTGTATGTGGTTCTGCACAAGATTTGAAACCAAATTTTGGCTTCTTACTCTTCCGTAATTCTAAATATGATGAAGGAATACACAATTATGAATTGTTCATTTCCGATTCTTATAGCTTTACCTAATTATAATTGCTATATGTAATCTATAGTGGCAGGGAGGGTGATATTGTGGGTTGCTGGGAGATGAGTCTTGTACGAGGTTGACATAAACGGACTGATAACATGAATTACATGCTTGAACCGGGTTGAATAATAGCTCTGCAATAGATTTTTAACCAATTCATGATAGGGAGTAGCATCTCTAAGCATATCCAGCCATTTATTAGTATATATGTATCATAATCATCATAATCATACGAGCTTTATCCCAACTATTCGAGGTCGGCTAGTATACTTCTTTAAAATATGGATGGGAAATCATACCTATTTTGTGAAATATAAAATTTCAATTGGTCTATGCAACCTTTACTACTCAGACACATATGAGGTTGTCTACATCTGGAGTTTCATTTTAGGTAGGCTTCTTACCTGATATTATCATATGATACAACTTTGTCCTATATGTTCACAGGGGAAAGTGCAGTGAAACTGATAGAACAAAAAAAGAAGTGTTGAACCACTACAATCAAAACTAGCTTGAGCCTGCTAATCATAATCTATGATATGAAGCTCAAGGATACTATTTATGACTATAAGTGTATGTCGGAAGTGGTTGTGGCATGGTCTTGAAGCCTTGCTCTGTGTAAGAACACAGATGTCTTTTGCTAGTATGATTATTCATCAGGCCCTTTATAATACTCTGATATATTTTGATCTCTACTATATCTAGTTGGGTTTGCTGCAAAACGTGAGAGGATATGGATGGAGTCCCTGTGAGAAGGTAGTAATGATTATAATTTCTCTTTGGGCGAAGAGCATTTGCATACTGAAGGAATTTGGAGTCATAACGATGATTGGTGAATAAGAATATTAACTAGGCATTCTGGTCAAATGGCAACGACTCTATGCAATAGAGGTTAACAATTTTTAGGCTAATGTTCTAAATGGAGAGTATGGATAAGGTGGGGATGGGTGGGGTGCTATGATGCACAGATACCATTGTAGGCACAGCAACAACAGCAGTTTTTTGTAGTTTTACATTGCATTTGAAGCATCAGACATGGGAAATGCACAAATTTTAAAGTATCTGAGCATCATAGGTTTGGTTCCAGGGAATTAGGTAGCTTTTCTATAGTGTCAAGGCTGTGGAGGGAATTCTTTTAGTCGAGATATGGGTCGAGAAACGGCTTCCATTGGGTGGATGTTGGGAGTCATTAAGAGGTTATGGGCCAATATTACGTAAACAACTCTTGGCATGTTCTTTCATGTTGACCTAAGCAGATTTGCTGAGAGCTCTATGCACACTCCAGAGTTCTTTCATGTTGATCTATGTGGATTTGCTGAGAGCTCTTTGCAAACTCCAGAGTTCTTTCATGTTGACCAAAGTGGATTTGCTCTATGAGAGAGAGAGAGAGAGAGGAGGGGGGGGTGGCTGGGCGTTGAACAGTTTGGATTCTGTAGTTCGGCAACGTTATTACCACAAAAGCTACATGGTCATTTACAGTTGGCATGAAGAAAATATTTTTGTATGCACTCTTTTTAATTCACTCATATAAACATTGGGTTAACTAATCCTACTTTAAATTTGCTTTGGGTATGGATAGCTACTTTTGTAGCTGATTCGTTTTTTACTTTATTAGGTTGACTGAATTGTGTAAATTCCTTTTGAATTTTGAATTTGATGGGTTATCTAGAATATATCCCTATTACTTTGCGTATAGAATATATCCCTAGTACTTTGCAAAAGAAAGATTTCCTAGAATATTTACTTAAGAAATGTGAATCCCAATATTATTCTACTTGTGTAAATAAGGCTTCCTCTTGTGCAAATAAGGCTTCCCCTAGAGCATCTGCTTTTCGACTAACTTGTTGATCAATTGGATAAGGGAAACGTTTATATAGAGCCTAGGCTCTAAACAATCAAATTAGATCTTACCTCAAAACTTTCACCAGAAGAGGTTGTTTTGATGCTCAAATATCATCAAATTGATCATCTCGACATCAAGATGCATGAACATGAGGAAAAAAATGGATTTCAAGTTTTGGAAATAGTGCAGATTGTAACTAATTTTTGGATCATCAATTTTCAAGTTTTTCATAGATTTCAAATTGTCATAGATCTGCTCGATCTACACTATTTTTTAAGCTTTAAATTTTATAACTAAAGATGAAAATGTAATTTCATGCTATCACAAAACTTTCCAGTATTGAAACCATATTTCTCGACACTATTTGAAGGTGAGCTCTAATTGGATTGTTTAGAGCCTCGGCTCTATACAAACCGCACCCATTGGATAAATGTTATAATTTTTTATTGCTAACTTCTTATACTTCACTGAAAATTTTTGGTCATTAATAAAAAAGCTATCACGTTTATCCAATTGATCTAACAAGTTAGTCCAAAGCCAGATGCTCTAAGGGAAGCCTTATCTGCGCAAGTAGAACAATATTGGAATTCACATTTCTTGCACAAATATTCTAGGTAATTTGTTATATGCAAAGTGATAGAAAAATTTACAAAATATCCCATTTTACTATCAAAATTTAAAAATAGTCCTGCATATTTTATATTTTATGCTTAAGTCCCACTTATTTAGCGTGTGTATTGTATATTAATTTTAGTGTCTTTTCTATGTATTGGATTAAGCTCAAATCTAGTGAGCTGATACTTCTCACCAATCTCACATTTGTAAAAAATACCAAAACAACATTTTAAAATAAATAAAAATAATTAAAATACCTCTAAAATTTTAAAGTTTCTAGGGGTATTTTGTCCTTTTTTTTTAACATATTATATTTTTAAATATCTTTTAGAATGGATGCCCAAAGTTTGAGCTGAATCAGATATATAGAAAAATAAATTCAAAATGCAATATTCCCTATAAAAACGTGGGGCTTAAATGTGAAATATAGAATATACAGGACTATTTTAAATTTCAAAAATAAAAATGGATTTTTCTGTTAATTTGCCAAAGTAGTATGGATGTATTCTAGACAACCCATGGCAAAGTATGCAGTTAGAAGTTAGGTCCAAACAGAAGGGCATCCAGGGGATGCCAATGGGTGTTTTTTGCAAGTGCATCCACAACAATGTTTGTGCTTCCTGGTGCAGTTATTGGGGATCGTTGATTGGGTCTATATAAGTTGTGGAGGGCATTGTACAGGGAAGGTTTCCCTATAACGTCTGACTTTTGACTGGCTCGTGAGATCTTTTGGAGAAAGGGTATTATGTGCTTTTCTATCACAAAAGTACTCTGCAACTCAGGCATGTCTCATGATCAAGCTCACAGAAATGGAGAAAAGGGCAACTATAGCATGGTGCCCTTTTATCCATTTCTCTACAAAAAAAAAAAAAAAAAAAAAAGGTAGAAAAAGGCACCATGCTCTGGCTGTGTTTTATTTCTAGAGATCAGCAAATCATGCTAAAATGGAATGTCATCGTACCAAATACCAATTGGGGGGGGGGGGTTAAGCTTTGTTGTGGGTCTCATTGTGTATAGGTTTGATGGGAGAAGATAGAAAGGTTCATGCTCTGGGATGAGCTTGTGTTCCATTGACTGAAGAGGATAAAGAGTTAATGCAACCATTGGCCATTGAGAATGATCCATCAAATTTATCATAAGGAGTGTGAGAGGATGCTCACGGCCTAGGGAGTCCATAGTTCTTGTACTTATTAGTGGTTACACCAATCCAGCTGGTTGAATTGTTGGCTTTTTGAAACATTCACATTGAAACTTTAGAAGTGAGTTCGGTAGTTGGCACTTTTGGAATTTCGTTATTAGTGTTGTTTCACGTCTCTGTATCCTGTTTGGTATATTCTTGTGGTTACGCATACAGTAACAGATTACATTCCCAGAAAATGGGAGACATTAGCTCAACTGAATTTTCCTGACCATTGTATATTACTTGTATAACTTGCAGTCTACATGTAATACTGATTTTCTCTATTCTGAGCTTCTAATTATGCAATGATTCTATAAATATTTCCATTGAATCTATAAAAAATTCTTATTTAATTGGGGATTCCTGTGAAACGTTTAAGGGACCTTTGTTATCATTGTGACTACATACTTGCTGTGGTATTCACTTTATATTAATGTCTCCTTAAGCTGTACTAATATTTTTCATTCTGTATTTCTTTCAGGGTTGATCAACATGTCGTTTGCAGGTTAGTAAACTTGCCTGTAAATGTAAAATCTGAGCGAGGTGGGATGAGTTATCTCTTGTTTCTTGGTATTTGAATGAAAGTTTAATTGTGCATTACTGTGCTTATGATCATCTTTCTTTAAAACGCCTTGGCAAAAAAAATTTTAAAACGCCTTGGTGCAGTCTGGGCAGGTGCATTAGGTGCCTGCCTAAGCGGTCTAGGTGGCACCAAGGTGCTATTGTCTGGGCACTCGCCTAGGCGGCGCCTCGTGACAACTTGTGGGCGGCGGAAAAAACCCTCAAGTGAGGGTAAAAAAATGTAACTTTTTCCCCCAAAAAATGGGGAAAAAGGGTTTTAGGGGGTATTCTAAACCCCCAATAGAAAATCCGTGGCCTTTAGGGTGAAAAAAACCCCTCAAAAACCACTCTTTTGTGAGTTATCGAAAGATAGATAATTTTTTTTTTTTTTTCGATTTCTTCCTAAAACGAAGGCAATAGTTTGTGGGTGGATTTGGAGCTTTTAATAGTTGATTTTGAGAACTTTTGGTGACCCAATAGACAAGGTTTGCACCGACATCAATTTGATTTTGATATTTTTAAATTATTATCATATTTGACAGAGGGTTTTGATTTTTTTTTGCTACAACATATTATGTTATGAATCATGCGTTTTTTCTTTTACTTTTTTTTTTCTTTTACGATATATTTACATGTTTGTAGTTAAAAGATTGTTTTTTTTGGTGATTTATTGATTTTTTTCTCACTTGGATGATGAAATTCAGCATATATCGTATTCTTTTATGAATAATTGATTCTTTTTTTGTACGATGTCTTATTTTGATATTCTATTTTTTTGTTTTAGTGTATTTGATAAATAATTGATTATGTGATATCTTAATGGGTTAAGTCTTATGTGAAAGTGAAACTAAAGTCTTAAAATGTCTTCTATAATCAGTTGTTCATTTAAGTCTTATTGTAAAGTAATAGTTAGTGTCTAGTGACTTAATTCTTTAATAGTTTTTTTTTTTTGGGGGGGGGGTTTGATTTTGGTAAGGGCACGCTGTCCCTGGGCGCCCGCCTAGGCGGTCAGGCACCCAACCTGCCTAGGCACTTGAATCTGTTTTTTTGAACATTGCTGATATTATAACAAAAGAGGTTAAGTTGATTCGAACCCATGATGGTCCTAGATGCATATTGTTCTGCATGAGAGCTTATTTTTGGCGATTATTGCATTATATTTGGTTAGAGATATAGAACAAAGAATCTTCTGAGGCTTATATATCTCACTGCAACATAGATATCTTCTCTTGCGGAGTTCTCACTTTGGCTTCCTTGATATCTAAGAATGTTGCAATTGTGATTACAACTAAAGGACTAGAACTGATTGTGTGCATCATGGGCATGTTAGCATGCATGATGTGCAACTGCAGTGCGTTAGATTACTGGTGTAGATGTGATTAGTTGCTTATGACTATGTAGATTTGTAAGCAACGTGTATTATCTATGTCAGTACTAATGCAATAGAAACATAATTTGATGTTTCCATGCAAATCCATACATACTATGTTTCCATCTAGAACATTAACTATATTTGAAACATTTATCTATAGGATAAGCTATGTTACAAAGAAACATTTATCTATAGGATAATGTGTTGCAAAGATGCGCGAATGCATGTGTTAAAAATATCAACTCCAAATTTGGCCTTTCAGACATGACACATGACATGCTATACTGTTTAGAAGAGAAAGGGGGGAAAAAGGGGGGGGGCAGGGAGGGGGGGGGGGGGGGGGGTGTGGGGTGGGTTAGGGATATAGGATTTAAGTGACAAAACAATTTAGTAGTGACATTTACAAAAGGAAAAAAAAAAGGTGCGAGAATTGTAAAGTTTTTGAAGTGTCATAGGTATCATGTCCCTGATGTGTTGACGCATGGCGAGAACCCTTGACACACATCTAAGCTACAGGGGCTAACTACAATAGTTACCATGGTGGGATGCCCTAATGTTTATCTTGCAATTGTGGATGTTGTTTTGACAGATGTTTAAAATACGGATAGGCTACCTGGATCGTCCACCCCAAAAATATGTCGGATCGGAGAATTGGCCAAATCGGCAAGTTTCGTCCCAAAACATTTTAAAAAAATCACTATAAATCTCTAAAAATAGTGTTCTTTTAGTTTTTAAAAGAAATTAGGAGTGGTGCATTATGTACTTTCGTTACTTTGTAAAATAGGTGAATACTGAGATGTTTTTCTGTCTGGATGTTTATATAATTATTAATTATAATATAGTGCGATAATATTGCATCAAAATAATTTAAAATTATTAGAAAACACTTCCATATTATAAGATTAAAAAAAAATTCCATATAAAGTGAAATTAGTATCACATCAAACATTTAGTAATTCTCTTTACTCGTTCAAAATTATCACAACCTAAGTAACTATAATATTATACATTGAAATTGAAATTATTGGTTTATATTTTATAATCATTTTACATTACAAATAAGAATAAATTTGAAATTTGGCTTATAATATCATCGAATTTAAAAACTCCAATTTACAACTATAAAAAAAAATAATTCATTATATAATTATAATATAAATATATTAATAAATAATATATAAGATTTGGTTGTCAATGTAATTAGTATAATTATTAATTATAATAAACGTGATTAATAAAACAAGATGACTCTTGCATATATATTTTGAATTGCTAGTATATTTTTTATAATAAATGTAATTAGTTTAAAAAATACTTTAAATTACTAGTATATTTTTTCGGACAGATTCTACATACCCCCCATTTTTGGCATCCATTTCTCATGAGACCTAAGGATTCAAAATATTACCAGCAGTATAAGGTCTCTTATCTTTTTTATCCTCCAACTCCTTGGACCCCTTTGACCATGTATTGTTTACCCAAAAAATAGTAAAATGACACCCTTCAACAACCCTTTTCTTTCTCTGTTAACTTCACCATCTCTCTCTCTCTCAAATACCCAAAACACCATCTCTCTCAAAACTCCATCTCACTCTCTCTCTCTCAAAACTCTCTCTCTCTCTATAATATCCAAACTGTTGCAGAAAGGGAGAGACCCTTTTTGTACATCTGGATTCTATAACTTCCCCCATTGATGATCACCCAAACCACAACACTGTCCCAATAGATCTGAAGCACCCCTATTTTGCTTTTGCAACCCAAAAGCAAAGCTCAAAGGGAAGGTATAGTGCTTCTTCTCATCTCTCTAAAATGGGGAAGATTGAACCCCTCTTACACGAGATTGAACCCCTCTTACACGAGCAAACCCACATGCCAAAGGTCCAAGCTCAAATCAACTAAGAGGCAGATGAAATCCTCTTTCTGCAACAGTTTGGGTATTTGAGAGAGAGACGACTGAGTTTTGAGAGAGAGAAATAGAGATAGTGTTTTGGGTATTTAAGAAACAGACAGTGTTTTGAGAGAGAGAGAGAGCGACGGTAAAGTTAACGGAGAAAGAAAAGGGTGGTTGAGAGGGTGTCATTTTTCTATTTCTTTGGGTAAAAAATACTTGGTCAAAGGGATCTAGAAGGTTGGAGGATAGACAAGATAGAGACCATATGCAAGTAATATTCTGAATTCTTGGGTCTCATGAGAAATTGATGCCAAAAATGGGAGGCACGGAGATATTTTCCCTATTTTTAGGCAATATTTTTTAAACAAAAAGATGGCTCTTGCATATATATTTTGGGTGGCTGCCCAAAATAATTCCGTATTTTGATGGGCAATTGCTTCAACTACCTTCCTTTGCACGCATAAAGCAATGGGAGAATTGTCCCATATTGACAATTATAGGGAGAATTGAATGTATATAAAAGGTTGAGGCCCATGCATTAAATTACTCTTGCTTGAGCTGGACGTATGGTCAGCGTGCAGTTGGGGCCATTTATTGCTTGTGGGGCATGTCTATTAAAATAATTTTTTAGACAATAAAAAATGTGACACGTTTCAAAAATTAAAAGCGAAATGTGATGTTTTCGTGGTGTCAGAACCGGTTTGATGATGTAAGAACCAGTTCTGTGACGTTAGAACCGGTACGAACTGACCGGTTCAGGGGTGGACTGTCCAGATCTTATTATATTACAGGATCCAGAATGGTCAGGACTATTCCCAATCCAGATCGGGTGATTCCAAATCAAAACATCGAATTTCTTAACATTGGTTTTGACTAATGTTGTTGGATTTGCTTCAGCAGAAGCCTTCGGATTTTAGGCTAAAACCGAAGCGAAGCGAAGCTTGGTGCTGCCGCTTCGCCCAGCTTCCTCCTCTTCAGCCGAAGCAAAGAAAAATCTATATAAAAGTATTTTTTTTCTTTGTTTTTTGAAATTTTTATTTTTTATTAAATTAAAATAAAAGTCCAAAGTCTTCTCCCATATCGGCTGAAACACCGGATTACTTCGTTTTTCTCACAAAACCGAAGAAGACTCCAAAATGAATCTAACAACATTGGTTTTGACCTCTTTTGCTATGACTGGCGGATCTCTTTTGGACTTATCCCTCCTATAGGCTAAACCAATGTCTAAAAATTTGGCGTTCCGATCCGGAATCACTCGATCCGGATCGGGAATTGTCCTGACCGTTCTGGATCCTGTAATATATCGGGATCCGGACGGTCCACCCCTGAACCTGTTGGTTCGAACTGGTTTTGATGTCATAGAACCGGTTCTTATATCATCAGACCGGTTCTGACATCACGAAAACACCACATTTTGCTTTTAATTTTTGAAATACGTCACATTTTTTTATTTTCTAAATATGTTTTTTATGCACAAGCCCCACAAGCAATAATTAGCCCCAACTGTACGCTAACCATGCGCCACGCTCAACCATGAGCAATTAAACACATGAGCCTCAAGCCTTGTATATAACTCAATTCTCCCTAGAATTGTCGACGCGGGACAATTCTTCCATTGCTTTATACATGCAAAGGGAGGGAGTTGAAGCAATTGCCCATCAAAATATGGAATTCTTTTGGG